ACTCTTGCGTCCCCCTTGCCATTTTTTTTTTTGGGGGGGGGGGGTAAAAGATCTTGAAGTGACTGTATCTCAAACATTTTTATCCATAGGGACATCCAGGTTAAAATGTTCTGTATAATTTCTGGTACAATTGCTGACTTGCTGAGCATTTAGGGAAAATAATAACAGTTGTAGAAGGACAACATAACACCACCACCAACAAACCTGTAAGATTACATTCATTATACCCCCTGCTTTATACAGTACCTGAACAGATATCTGTTGGCTTTGCAAGTGTAAAGTGAAATAGCCAATACAAATCTATTGGTAAATTTGTTTCAAAATGACCAACTAATAATATAGGAGTTTATTAACTGTAAATTATAGCACTTATTATATTTAGTGCTTTCTATTTTTTTATAGTTGATACAGCCAAAAACAACATATACCCTTTACTCTCGTTAACTAATGCGTGTGGCTAACATCTTAACAGATAGCAAAAAAATCTAACACATGTTAGTGTCACCAATAAGTTGTCTCCAACCTTACTCTGTAACTTCTTAATTGCACTTTTATATTATGCATATGAAGTAATACCTAGAGATCTATGAACCGAGCTATACTATTTATGTTGGTGTTTTATACAGCAGTAAACCATTAGTTAGAGCAATTTTGCTTTTGGCTAGGGACTGCAAAAAGAATCAAATATAATGTAATGTATAGAAGAGAATAGAACATAAGATATATCTGACAATCATGTGATTCCAGAAATGGATTCTGAGACCCCTTGCGGGATTCTGACCTAGAAATAGTGCAGATTTCCTATATACTTTAGAGGGACACTATTTTATTATTTTATTCGGAAACTGATTGTCCACAGTATTTCTATGTGAACAGTCACATTATAAAATGTGTCTAAAGAACAAAGGAATGACGAGTTTGGATTCTTATTTCTAATTTGATTATAGATTCTCTTCTAGAGAAGGGCTGCATCTTAAGGGTGGGTGTAGCTGTGTTGTGGGAATGAATGGTTAGTAGGTTGGAGGATATACACTGTCACCAACGTAAGATAAAAAAATAAGTTAAAAGCACAGAAGAAATAATTATAATTACGGTTGCACAGATACCAAGTACAGTACTCGGTACGAGTACATGTACCGATACTTTTGAGCTCCAAGACTACTCTAGAGAAAAATTCAAAAGTTAGGAGGCAGCTGTTATTGGTAAGGATCACACTGAGCTCCTGGGATTTGTATATCTCTGCTTTAATGTACGATTTTGTTTTTATAAATATAAATAAGGGGATGCACAGATACCAGTTTTGCGAGTACGAGTACTGGTACTTGCCGAGTACTTACAAGTACGAGTACTGATACATTTTTGTTTATTGTCATTTGACAGTTTTTCTAAAACAATACAGACTAATGATTTCAGGACAGTGGTGGAGTGCCAGCACCAGGTCCCAGCTGCAACCACTGCAACCCTGGTAGTTCTCATGAAAATGCCAAGTATCGGCACTGGTACTCGAAAAGTATCTGTGCATCCCTAATTATATTAAAGGCTTACTTGCAGTGTCTTTCCTTTCCATAAACAAGTTTTATTGACTTTCAATGTGCCTTCAAACTTGCTATCAATTAATACTTCTTAAGGAAAAGTCAGTTCCCTAGTACAGCCCTCTTCTACATCATAGCCCTCTCCTCTTCTGGAAGTGACTAATTACTGTCTCTGTTGGCCAAGCTCCTCTGCGCCTCCTTTCCCCTCCCTACATAACACTTTATCTAGCATTCTGGAGACGACATACAGTGTTAATTTAGTGGGGTTGCTGACATCACATCAAAGATGGGGATACCCAGTTGCAGTCTCAGGGCTTTTGGATGTCTACAAAAGGAAGGCTTTAACAGGTAAATAACATGCATAAAATACGTAAAGGCAAATATATTCTTATGCTAGGATTCTTTAAGCTAAGATCTGAAAGAAAGAAAAAGTGTGTTAGCTGAGGTTAGTGGAGTTATAGAGGGTAGAGTTGGCAGTAAGCAGGTGATTTAAGGCTACTTGTTCTTTGAAAAATCTAAATTTGTTAGTTAAAATACAAAACGCAAGATAGCAAATGATAGAAGTCTTCCGAGCAAAGTTAATAAACTGCAATTGCTCATAATAGAGAAAAAGTATAATGTAGTATGTATAACAGAATCCTGGCTTGATGACAGTCATGACTGAATAATGAATTTGGAAAGCTGCAGTTTAGTTAGGAAGGATAGAAAAAAAGTAGAGGGGTTTGTCTCTGTGCAAAATATTCTCTTAGATCAGGTTTGAATGAAGACATTTCTGAATACATTGACAGCGTGAAGTCTGTATGAGTAATATACATGGTGAAAGTTACATCTCTAATGTACTCATAGCGGCTTGATGTAAGCCACCTCACATAAATGATACAGCTGATGTTCAAATGCTGCTACAACTGTAAAAGACAGCAGATAGAAATGGGGTCCCTGTTCTGGGTGAATAAAGTTACCCAAACATCCTTTGGGACAGGCAGTAGTGCTAGTAAAATGACTCAGATTTTTATCTTACAAGACTGCTACCTTACCCAAAAAAATGTCTGAACCAACTAGAGGACAGGCTGTTGTTGACTTCATAATTTCCAAAGAGTAAACATCATATTATATATATGTTCGATGGTTGATCCAATTTGTCCCAGAAAACACAAATGTATAATACGCAGATGAGGATATTGTGTAAAGCAAATCAAAACAAATTCGTTTTGATTCGCTTTGATTTGCTTTACACAATATCCTCATCTGCGTATTATACATTTGTGTTTTCTGGAACAAATTGGATCAACCATCGAACACACAACTCGGATTCGGGAATAAAAACCGCCCCCTGCTTCCAGCCTTCGGTTCCCAAAAAAACGCCCCGTTCTTTAGCTTGGTTTGGAGCGCTTCTCCCCTCCTTTCTCTGATTGAATCACCCATCGGTCGGACACCCCGGTCCGTATGTTTTCTGAAGCCGCTCAACCAAACAAGTATACTTAGTACCAATTTCAAAAACCTAACAGACACAGCCCCCCCTCCCTTGGACGAGCGCTGTATTTAGGTACGTTGTCCTTTGAAACTTTCCGTTGTCATCATTCTGTGTATGGTCCCCGGTCTCCCTGTTCCCATGTGCTGTTGGATGTTAAATGTCTGTACCCAGTGGTGACATCACAGGTCTTGTTTTAGGTGTTTAGAACCCAGTTGCAGTCTAATGACTGCACAATATTACTGCAAATAAAGGCATTTAAGGGATGATTTTTGCTCCTTTGCTAAAAAATACTTATGACTATAGTATGCCCTACTTGTTTGCGGAACTGAGGCTTTACATCTACTTAATATATAATGTAATCCCTATGGCCACACCCCAGAACACCATTGCTGATTATTCTATATACCAGACAAAAGATCTGACATGCAGAAGCATAGAGCTGTCACGTTTTAGTTACATTTGCAAGGATACCTGATAAAGACCTTGTTAAATGTATGGTATAGTTATCATTTTTATATGCAAGCTCCTATTTCCCTTAACCCAGTTCTTTCTCATCCACAGATACTTGGGAAGTCCCATTTGAGGAGATTTCAGAGCTGCAGTGGCTGGGTAGCGGAGCACAAGGAGCAGTTTTCCTGGGAAAATTCCGAGGGGAGGAAGTCGCCATCAAGAAAGTGAGAGAGCAAAAGGAAACTGACATTAAACCCCTAAGAAAGTTAAAGCACCCCAACATCATTGCATTCAAGTATGTACCGTGATTGCTGCTCATTATATGAATCACTGACATTCTTTTTTAAACCTGTGAATGAATCATCAGTAATAATTATTCTTTTAGGTCTAATATTCCACTTGTCATATTCCACCTGAGAGAAAATGATGATCGTTGGCATGAGGGTACAAGCGGTTCATTATCTTGATCAATTAAGAGTACAGCCAATTTGTGATTAAAGCAGAACTCTAGCCCAAACATGTTTTTGTTCTAGATAGAGTGGAGAAGGGTTAGACCTTCCCTTAGATTTGTTTGCGGTCTGTCTCCCCCTTTGGGAAGATTAATCAACATAATTTATCAAGTTGACCATTGCCCCAGAGACACACAGTGAGGATACATAAAATGTTTTACTGTTGTCACCTAAATAGGAGCAGTGGACATATCTTCCAATGGGGAATATGTTCCAGTGTCTCCAGCTGTTAAAGTTTCCTGGTTTTTGAAGTTCCTGGTTTTTGGGAGATTTTCACAAATTTCCTGTCATGCCTCTAGAACAGGAAGAATTTCCCTACATTACCCAAAACTAAAAAAATGTCTGTTTTCACTTTGTCATTATGGTGTACTGACTGTAGATTAATGAGGAAAAAAAAGAATTTAAACAAGTGTAGTATCAGGCTGCAACATAACAAAATGTAAAAAAAAAGTGAAGGGTTTGAAGGGTTTACTTTCTGACTGTAAATAATTACAAAACTTATTTGCAGTAGGACATACCTGGTCCTATCTATGGTTGCCATTCATTGGCTGTTTTGTATTGTTGATTTTCACTTACACTGTAGTCGCTTTCGTAGTTTGCCTTTTATTTCAGCCATTGCTTTGCATGTATCTGAGTTTTTCGATCTGTAAAGTAAACAACAAGCAGCTCAATGCGAGTTCATTTAAGGTGAGGAAGAGGGAGGCTGGCAATTTGGAATGTTCAGGAGATGCTGTATGCAGATGCGCACTGCACCATCATCTCCCCCATCACACTGATTAAAGAAATACCAGCTTATCCGAAAGGTGTCCGCTTCAGATTCATTAGAAATGACAAGTTAAAAATTAATAACAGATTACAAGGTAAGCTGTAAGAACTCTTCAAGTGCACTGTAAAATAGAATCAAGAGCTGTCTTGCTTAAGCAATATCTGCTTAAAAATTATCAAAAAGGAAACTAATAGTGGGAATTATTTGTAGAAAATGGTGAAAGAGAAAAGAAGAAGTCTCACTTTTTATTGCCAATTGTGTGACAGTTGAAATTTGGTTGCTATGTGTTTATACCTGCACTTATCATTCGATATACTGAGCTGGAATTTGAAACTGTTCTGTAAAGCAGCCCTTACAGTAAATTAGATGGTCCTCCTCTTGTAAAAGTGCTACCTAAAATAGTGCTTGAAAAATGTTTGATTATATTGTTACCTAACCCCCGCCTAAGGAATGCACAGGCGCTCTTGCACTGGACTTGAGTGTCTTGTCCTGAGTAATGGTACTCATCATTCCCCAAGAAACTCGCCAGAAATATAATCTAACTATTTTTTACAGTTACAAGTACTGTTATGCACTATTTTTTTTTCCTTTAGAGGGGCCGGACCTTTCATTGTAGGTTCCAAAAATATTTGTAATGGTTTTTTTTTGGTTTTTTTTTGGAAGGGGCAATGTGGAACGGGAGCTCAGAGGAATAAATCTGATTACAGTACTTCTTTCACTAGGTTCCACCAGTTATTCTGCTTGTAGGTTCACTGGTTATTCCCTGCTCCAGTTCCCATCTGGGAAGTTGTCACTTGGTTATGCACCCTTCTAGTTCTTATGTTTGTTAACCATTGTGGGATGGGAGAGAGATTTCTGGCAACACCAGCATTCCAGTTGAAGTCCGAATATACAAATAGAGCAGCATGGGTTTCAAGGTTCCTGGGGACCTCAAGAACAAAACTAACCTTGCCTTCAGGCACCTGGATGTGCTAGATTTTATAAGAAAGTGGCTGATTATTAGGTCTAAATAGGCTAAAGGTTTGCTTTTTCTGTACACGCTAGTCAAATTCAAACATTTTTAGCACTTAAATTCATTGAAGAAATGCAGTCTTCCCATACAGCGCATTTTAGTTCATCTTATTTGTGTATCACTCGGCTGTAGATCCTCAAATCATCTCTGAATTCATGCTGACATTGTCCTTCTTTCTGGAGGGTGGCTACTTTTGTTCCCAGTGGTCCCTGTGTGTGTTGTAAAGTAGCCATAGCTTTCCTGTCATGGACTACAATCTAAAATTTAGCTAGGTAATTTATATTGAAGATATAGTCCATCACAGGAGTGAGCTTAGAGTGGTGGCTGCTTTACAACACACACAGGGACCATGGGGAACAAAAGTAACCACCCTCCAGAAGGAAGGACAGTGTCAGTATGAAATAAGCTACATTTATATTAATAGTTAGGGTAATTGAATGCGTTTTTACGTTTTCATTTCTGAGTTTAGTGCTCTTAATTTAAAGTTCTTCTCCACAACTTTGATGCCAAACTGATCTTTCTCTTAATTCTCCACAGAGGTGTTTGTACGCAGGCCCCATGTTTCTGTATTATCATGGAGTACTGTGCCCATGGACAGCTTTATGAGGTACTCAGGGCTGGGCGCAAGGTAACCCCAAGACTCCTGGTGGACTGGTCAACTGGGATCGCTAGTGGCATGAACTACCTCCACCTGCACAAGATCATTCATAGGGACCTCAAATCACCCAAGTGAGTAGTTTCAGTCTACTATGTTTCATGGGTCCAGTAATTGCAGTTGTGTATGTTTTATATTTTGCAGTACAGAGTTCACTGTATGTAAATTGCTCAAAAATCAATTAGTAACATTACTATTGTTTACTGCATTAACTTTGACTATAGGCTCTTTCAAAATAAATAAATGGTCCACGCTAATGTAGCAGATAGGATTTTACTAATGGAATAAAATAATTTTAAAACGGCAGAATTGTAATAGTTTTCTCTAAATCGGTCCCTCAGTACACTGCAAAACAGTGTTTATAAAGGACAATTAATTTTAAGCTATTTTTGTATCTCCTTTTCCTTAACAGTGTCCTAGTTACCCACACAGACACAGTAAAGATCTCAGACTTTGGAACATCCAAAGAACTTAGTGACAAAAGCACCAAGATGTCATTTGCTGGCACTGTGGCATGGATGGCTCCCGAAGTCATCCGCAATGAGCCTGTCTCAGAAAAAGTGGACATCTGGTTAGTATGAACCATATATAGGTATGATCTGTAGTAACAGTGTATACTTTATTTTTAGGCAGTCGTGTTAAACATTTAAATGTCTTTGATGGTTGTCTTGGACGGTGCAGATAGTATTTGCTGTCTTTTGGCACTTATGTTATGCATACTAGTAGCAAAACAAGTGTTAATATTGTTTTGACAATTTATAATTTTTTCCTCTTCTTTAAGAGCTTGATTAATTAAGTGAATGCTTCCGTAGAAATAATGCAGAAAAGTACCAGAACTCAGGTGTGGATCCCTACAAAATGTTATTTATTGAAAAGGCATAAAATTCCAAACATGACAACCCTGCTCGTTTCAGCCTATGCGGCCTTTCTCATTGCACGATTAAGGCTGTAAAGGCTAAACCACATAAACTGGATTGTCATGTTTGGAATTTTATGTCATTTTAATGATTAAACTTTTGTAAGGATTCCCAGTCGAGTGCCGATATTTTCTATATTATTTTGTTGTATATGGGCAGACAGAAGCACCACAGTTTCATGGCAGCCAAAGTAAGAAAGGAGGTGGTCTTTGTCAGTCTTTTCCCATGCGCAATGCTTGCATAGAATGGCATGGCCAGTCTTTGAAACTGTGGAATTATTGAGTAAAATCTCTACCAATGGCCCTGGTAAGAGAAAGAGATGCTTTATTAGAGTCGTTAAGGGTTCCTTGAAGAAATGCTTGGAGCTCTGTTTACCCTGCCATCAGCAAAATAACTATAGGGTTTAAAATACATGGTCTAAGGTATTTTTTTTGTTATTAGGGTCATTAGGTGCTTTTTTTTTAAAGATCAATTGCTTTTGAGATCCTCTCTATGTTGCTTAGTTGCTGCAACAATGTGCTGAACTCATTGGCTTCACTGAATTCTCTCTCAAGATAAACAGCAATGGGAGAAAGCGAGGAGGTCCCACAGTTCAGAGAAGAATCCAATAGAGCGTTTTACACTATGGTCCACATATACAGTATATGAAGGGTTGTAAGATCCAAAATGTCATAGTAGAAAGATGCTTTGTAAGGATAACATGTCATTCGTGTACATGCTGGACACCAGTTTGCATAGTAATCTTGCTATTTATGTTACACAATGTTTGTTGTAGAAGAGTTACATTAAACTCAATAGGGTCATACATGTTAAAATGATTCAGCAATGCTGCAGCCAAACCTTCTTTTACTGACATGTTGCAGCAGTGTGGGGAAAAAGGCAAAAAACACCTTTTCATACAAATGCTCAACGTGCTCCAGTTTCCCTCAACTCAAAATAGCATTCTTTGGAGACGTATGTAGTCTTATCTAATAAAGTAGTGCACTGATCAGTGAATAAGTGTTTTAATCAACCAATCATCTGTAATCTTTTAAATGCTATTATCTTTTATGTCTTAAGTAATGTATCATTGGTGCAACAGGTCTTTTGGAGTTTTGCTATGGGAGCTGTTGACTGGGGAGATCCCATACAAGGATGTAGATTCATCAGCCATTATCTGGGGAGTGGGCAGCAACAGCCTTCATCTTCCTGTTCCCTCTACCTGCCCTGACGGCTTTAAAATCCTCATGAAGCAGACATGGTAAGAATGACTGTTATCATCCTAAGGTTCACGTTGTTATAGGTGAAAGACGGAACACTTGTTAAGGTTTCTGTGTTGTCAGAGTGGGTGTTCTCCATACAAATCATACCTTACATCTATGTCGCTTGGACAGTATTTCAGATAGGAAATGTCAAAGAGATATTTAAGTTTCCTGCAAGCACACTCATTTTTACCTAGATATGTGGACTGCGTTTATACTTCGTGCAGTGCTAGGCACATGGAGGCCTTTATTTAGCATTCATGCTGCCCTAGGCACACATGAATGATGCTCCCATTCATTCAAGTTCCACTTTTTCCCAGCAGCCATGCCCTATATTTATTATTGTGAACATTAAAACCATAATGTGCTATCTGAAGCAGAATTCTTTATATAAGGAGCTCTTACATTTGATAATTGTACAGCCTGCAGAGATAAAAGGGGGGATGCATGTTGTTACTCCACAGAGAATCTTGTGGCCCCACTAAGCAGCCATTATACACTCTCCCTCCTCAGTACTTCTGCTTGATATACCTACAACATTTTATATGTGTAAGGGTAGTTTTCCTCAACGTTCACATGTTAAAAGAAATAGCAAAAAAGATGTTTTGTGATCTCACTTTTTGTATTTTCATTTTTGTAGATTTGTAGTCCTACACCTAAACTATTATCCATCTGTTTGAATCAGTGAACATGTGTTTATATGTGCTCACTTTGCAAGGGAATTTTTCCTTTAGCTAAGTGAATGTGGTGAAAAATTCACTTTGCATAGAATAACCAATCATGTGCAAAGAAAATAAAAAAAATATATACAGTGGTACCTCGGTTCACGAACGCTTCTGCTTGCAAACACTTCGGTTCGCGAACAGGAAGTTTGGCAAAATTTTGCTTCCGTTTGTGAACTCCGCTTCGGGTGACGAACACAACCGCAGCCATTTTCCCTGCTCTGACACATGGTCATGGCTTCCTCTAGTCGAGATCGCGGTCTGATCACAGTTTGATTCGGTCCATGACCAAATCGGTTCGCGACCAGAATTGCGGAACGAATTAAGTTAGTTAACCGAGGTACCACTGTATTTGTTTGCACATGATTGGATAGTGGAAGTCTGCAGAGCTTCACTTCATTCACTAAGCTAAAGGAAAAATTATCTTGCAAGGTGAGCAGTCTATTTCTCTTTAGTAATTCAACCTCTTCATATCAGTTTACCTAAGTTTTCTACATAACATTTGGAGCAAAATGTAATTGAATTGCTTCTATATAAAATGCAGATAAACCCATTGCACATAGAAGCTTGAAGTCATCAACCATGTGTACAATGACAATTGAAAACAATAAACACTGCAAAGTGACAGCAAGGATAATTTTCTAACGGAGGCTGTTCACTTAGCAAAGTGTATTTTCACTTTGCAGAGTATATGTTCACCTAGCTTAGGTTTAGCTGTGTTCACTTTGAATTTTAGCTTGCACATGACTGGATTATCAAAGTGAACTTTACTTACCTTATTTACAAATCAGGGCCAACATTCACAAGGTGAACATTAACATGCTGAGTCGGCAGCCTCCATTAGTAAATCAGTCCATAGCCCAAATAACACAACAGCCAAATGGAGCAGCTGCAAAAGTAAGGTTATTAAACAATGTTTCTGGTATCAGTGGGGAACGCAATAATCTGACGTTAATCCACAGGAATCCAGTGGTGATAAAATAGAATTGAGAGCCAAAGTAACTATCTCACGTTTTTAAGTTTCTTTCAATAATACCTATTCATTTTCCAAATCAAATCCAAAAAGATGCAACAAATAATAACAGTAACAAGTAATACAAGTCCAGGGTCCAAATCCCAGTAGAGAGCAGCAAATGCCCTCATTCTGCAGGAATCTCACATTGTATTTAGTGTAAATAGACATTAGATTATATAAAACCCAAACATAGCAGGACATGGAACACATAAGTGCTATTAAAGGTAGTAGCCAGATAAGATTTCACAGTCGGGCACTAGCTTTCCCCTTTAAATGTTTACCATTGCTTTAAGTGACAGTAAACTCAGGAGTTACATCTTAAAAATGCATTCAAGTAACCAAACTATTAATACAAATGTAGATTATTTGTGTATCACTCAGCTGTACGGCTCTGAATTTGTGCTGACACTGTCCTTCCTTCTGGAGGGTGGCTACTTTTGTTCCCCATGGTCCCTGTGTGTGTTGGAAAGTTGTCACCAATCCAAGCTCGCTCATGTGATGGACTACAATCTCACGTTTAGTTTACTAATTTGTATTTTGGTTGTAGTCCATCCCAGGAGTGAGCTTGGAGCAGTGGCTGTTATATAACACACACAGGACCCTGAGGAACAAAAAAATAGCCACCCTCCAGAAGAAAGGACAGCGTCCACACCAATTCAGAGATGATTTGAGGATCTACACCTGAGTGATACACAAATAAGTTACATTTTTTGTTAATAGTTAAGGTACTTGAATGCATTTTAAAGATTTAACGCCTGAGTTTAGTGTCACTTTAAAGAGAGTGCAGATGGGGGCCCTGGGAAGCATAATTCAACATGAAAAAGGAGTCGGCAGAATAGTCGAGGAATAGTGAAACCAGCAAGAGAAGGGAAGTAAAGAACCAGAACAGAGATTAGGATAGAGGGGGATAGAGAAAGAAAAAGGCAGTTCCTTAGCCGCTACTGAGTAGGGTAGAAGCTCATAATAAAGTTAGGCTTGTCATCGAAAGTGCAGACGTGTTTAGATGTTCAACCTTTACCCTTCAATCCCAAAAGTGATTTATGATAAATATGGCTCTGCTGGTGATGCCTTACCTAAGCTATAAATACTTGTATCATTCATGAAATAGATTAGAGAATAAATCAGACAGCATAAGCTACATGTCCTCTCTTCTCAGACATTTACATTTATTTACACAGTAGCTATCTCAACTAATCTATTCAGCACCCTCATTTTAATCATTACTCTTCAATGCACAGAGATTTTAATTATACTTCCTTTTTACATAAATTATATCAGCAGTAGCAAGCACAGGATGTATATATAAACACTTTATAAAGAACATGCTAATTACAGATAATTGCACAGATGATGTGCTTTTGATTTCTGTCTGATGTTTCCATTGTTAAGCTACATTTTTAAGGGTCCAGTACACATGAAATATTTTTTTCTTTTTCCATATTTATGTCTGTGTGCCTTTGTTTTGCCTAAATGGAAACTAAATATTATAATAGCTGCAGTCATCAAGGAGATTATCCTGTTTCTAAATTCTTTAGCTGCTGTCCCCAATTCACCCGTCAATTCCCTCATGCAAATTATATTTCATGTAAACAAGAGCAGAAACATAACTCACAGAACTCTAATATCAAGTAATCAGCAGCAGATTCACAACAAACATTTCTGCATTTGGTATTCAGCAGTAGCCTTGGACTTTGTATTGACATGCTGGGAGTTGTAAAATAGCTTCAGTATTAGTATGATGCGTATTAATAGAGAGTTTACATTCTATGTTTTTTAGGCAAAGCAAGCCCAGAAACCGTCCATCATTCAGACAGATTCTTATGCATCTGGACATTGCTTCATCGGACGTCCTAGGAACCCCACAAGAAACGTATTTTAAATCACAGGTATCTCTTCCTGAAGCAACTCTATCTTCTATCTGAGACAGGGTCCTACAGGGTCCTAGAGGAATAGGAGCCCAGAGCATTGCACCTACAATCTACTGATCATCGTTGCAATTCTTTGCAGGCTCAAATGCAAAAAAAATAATACATTCACATGTTTTCTTTTATGAATGTGTGTGCATTTTTTTTTAAAAGCTGGACTGTGGCTTTAAGCAAAATACTGCAGCCTCTTATTATATGATTCTTTGCTGTACAACCTCCCTCTCATGTCTCAGCATGTATAGTTGAATTTAAAGTGACAAACTGGATCTTATGTGCTGTCATACTTATGAAGCTGATTATGCATAGCTTATAACATAGTGAGCCAATTACTATGTTTTATACAAAGTAATAGAACGGAATGTGCTTTAGGCACTTTGGATCAGCTGGGGAAGCATAGCAATCCATCCTTTCTTTTGTGTTGAAGCAAGCCCCCTGCAGCCCCCAGGTGAGTCAGTGTGCGTCTTGAACATTACAGATAATACGAGAGCTGATGCTGCCTCCTCATGGTCCACATGACGTTTTCAGCCTAAGCCAAAAATAGCCCTTTCTTCTGCTCTGATGACGGCTGAAGAGGCTACAGCATTCGTGAGCATATTATGCTCTTCTTGTATTGTCAGCTCCTCTGAAAGGGCTTTAATAGCTTTTGTAGAGCTGAAGTGCTTCAGTTTCCACAGCCTCCCATCTTTCTCCCATTCTTTTACCACTTTATTAATCCAGTGTGTCAGAATATCTGAAGACATTCAGCTGCCTACAGTCAAATACTCTGTCCATTACTTGTCCCTGTGTTCCTTCATTATTTGATACAAATAATTGAACTCCTGTCTAAAACTTATAGAATTACTAAACGCAGCACGGGAGTTTTATCTTTGGCTTGTTATTATTTCAGTAGCACAGCGGCTTTTATGCAAGTGCATGTTGTATTTTAGCCTGTAGATGCTTTTAAATATTGGTCGCTCCCGGGGAAATGCTGCATTTGACCCCCCACCAACACTTTTAAATAACAGGAGTTAAATGCAGGTTGAGATATACTATAATAATAATGATAATAATAATAATTCAAAAGATAATTTTTTGGTAGATGCAAGAAAGTTAAAACATCTGATTTTCTACCTTGATTTGGTGATGAGATCTCTGCACTTGAGTTCCCAGGTCCGCATACCTACCACAGCCTTTACTGAGTCCTATTCCTGTTCGAATTTCCATTTTATATTATTTAACAGAAGGATTCTGAGAACCTCAGGATTGGCAGAAACTTGAAAATATAACCTTTGGAGTGATGCGAACAGAGCGGGGAATTATTTAATGGAGATTTTACCACTTTATTCCCAAATAGATATTTAAAGCCAGCAGGTGACTCTGTCTACCTATTCGGTTTTGTAATCCATGCACCCTTGCCAGACATCACAGCCAGGTTGGTGACTTCTCTCTACTGGGCGATCAACCTGTCCTTAGCATGTGATTGGGCAGTGAGGCCAGGTTCACACCCGCGTGATCGGTGACCGGATTGATTTCAATGGGGTTACATCCCCACGGCAATCGCAGAAAAAAGGTACATGTACCTTACTTGTACCTTACTCTGTCCTCCTGTACGCATGTTCAAACTAGAGTATTGGCTTATTGCTGCCCCTACTTCTATCACTCTGAGGGTTAATGCACAGAGGAATACATGAGGCAGCTGTTAGGACAACGTTCCTATGATGGCACGCACATTTTTCACAACCACTTTGTTAAGCATGAAAATTAGTCACAGCTTGATAGAAGGCAGCTAAATGGTTGGAACCGTGAGAGCAAAGACAGAGGACTTTCCACTGCTGACTCCTACCAATGAGTGAAGAAAAATGTTTCCTAATGTCATTTCAAACATGGACATCCCCTTTATTATTAGCATTAGTACCAGTCTCAGTAAATTTGAAATATCTTCCTGTGCCTTTTTCAGTTAGAATCAAGGTCACTTGGTTATTGATAACAGATTGCGAATTATATGGACTGGCTGCAGGCCATTTGTTTAATTTGTTTTATACACAGTTGGTTCTAAAATATTTCTAACAGTGTTTTGCCTGTTCTTTAGGCTGAATGGAGGGAGGAAGTGAAAAAACATTTTGAAAAGATTAAAAGTGAAGGGACCTGCATCCACCGCCTGGATGAGGAACTGATCCGCAGACGGAGAGAAGAACTACGGTGAGATCTCCTACATACAGTATATAGGAAATACCTTTTTAGAAACTTTATATATTATGTCAGTGAAAATTATGTTGCTATGGGTAATTGTGCTTAGCAACTCTTGCTAACTCTTAACTCTTAAGAGCTTGTTCTCGATGGATGCGTTGTCAAGTAGTATTTCAGCAAGGCCTGTTTACACTCATATGCTGCTTTGCTTTGAATTGATAAGGAGTCCGGAAATTAAATGGGGTGCTAAATGCGGTAAGTTGCACTTTCTACATTTAGTTCTGCTTTGCACAAGCAGGACTAAATGTAGAGCGAGGAAGCTGATTGTTCGTTCACAAGTGATCTCGGCGATGTCGCGGAGATCACTTGTGAAAAGTCTGCAGCCGGTCCGTCCGTCCTCCCCTCCCCCCTCTCTCCTCGCTGGCTCCGTCGCCGAGTCTCTCTCCTCTTACTGGCCACCGATGCAGGGAGCAGAGCGTCAGGGTTAAAAGTAACCCTGCCGCTCCGTGTACACAGTGAGAGGGGGGAGCAGTCTTCCCCTATCACAGGAGTTCCAGCACAGTGTTGTGCTAGAACTCCTGTATTCGAGGTGACAGGGTCAATAAAGAGAATCGGTCACCTCCAATTGCTATCACACAGTGGATGGTTAGCTCCTGTTTGATAGCAATAAAGTTAGGTGGAAAAAAAATTGATTAAAAAAATATTAAATAAATACAAATTTTGAAAATATAAGTAATAAATAAAAAAAATTAAAAGGTGATTAAAAAGTAAAAAATAATAAGAAACAAATTATTAAAAAATAAGAAAATAATTATAAAAAATAAACAAGATTAAAAAAAATACAAAAAAGTAAACGATAAGATAAATAAAAAAGTAAAAAAATAAATAAAAATCAAAAAAGTGATAAAAAGTTTAAAAAAAATAAAGAAACAATAAATAACCCTGCCGCCCTGCCATCTGGTTGACATTGTCCATTGATGGGGGGGGGCATCGCGGAACCTGGCCTTGGGGCAGCAGGGAGAGTAAATCCGGCCCTGCTGACAAGGGCAAACTCAACTTGATCTCTTTCTGTATAACTACATTAACCTTTGTGGTAAGACTTATGTTCTTATTCATTTATTGTAATGAGCAAAAAGCAAGTGTAGAGTAAAGTAACTCATAATCAACATCAGATTTTAACTTACTGAAGACAGATCAGCAAATAATAATTCTGATTGATTGCTTATTACAGTGGAAGTAAAAAAACATTTCAAAATAAAAGCGGGTCCCCTGGAGCTTTTAGCCATAATGAGCTAGTGGGCACACTGTCAAAGCGATCCCCTATAGCCAGCGATTCCATCTTCGTTCTGGTCTTCTTCCGAGTTTTGACTCTTCGGCCATTTGCCCCATTGACGTACCTCCCACAAATGTGCACGGAAGTTACTTCATCTTGGTCTGTGCACTAAGCTGCGCACGTGCGGCTCATTGTACAGGAAAACAATTGTTTACAGGCATCTAGTTGCTTTTATGGCAGAAAAGAGGTAACCAGTCTGTTCTGCCATAGTAAACCTGCCAATCAGCATTTAAAAAAAAAATTGAATCCACTTAACTTCCACTTTAACTAAGATTGTTGACATTTAAGAAACATAAGCGATTATGAGAACAGGAGTCTAACTGAAATCTCTAAAATGAATGTTTGCAGTATAAGTTACAGTCTTATGGCTTAAATGTATTTGTAACAATTATTAAAACTTGTGTATCTACAATAGACATGCTCTGGATATTCGTGAACACTATGAGCGTAAACTGGATAGAGCCAATAACCTATATATGGAGCTCAGTGCTATCATGCTGCAGTTGGAAGTCCGAGAAAAAGAGCTAATCAGGTACCCGAATTATCGTTATTTTGCTTTGGTTCAAAGCACAAACATAATGTTGAAATTGAGTATTTCGACAATGCATTATACACACATGCTGTTTGATGATACTAATTTGATCCGCATATGTTTTATAACACTGACAACATTGCATCTTCTCTAGGCGTGAGCAGGTTGTAGAGAAAAAATACCCTGGAACTTACAAACGCCACCCTGTCCGCCAGATAGTCCATCCAAATACTGTTGAGAAATTTATCAAAAAGAAAGGGGTGCCTTCTAAATCAACATCTCACACTAGACGGTATGTAACTATTAAGATTTATGATCCCCCATAGGTTACATGTTTTCACTTGAAAGCTAAGTCCATTCGCAATATATATTAGTTTTACAGTTGAAGCACCAGAATTGAGCCATGAGCTTCTCATATATGTTGGGAACCCTGCACCCAATTTTCCAGCTCTGTCCACATGGTTTGGCTGTTATAAGAAAGTTTTACTCTTGCTGCTGGATTTGGTGTTTTTTTTATTTTTTACTAATATTAAATTACAGATGTGGAAGTTGTAATCTTAATTTACTTAGTAATGACCACTTACAGATGAGGGAGGGACCACAGGGGGGAATTTCATTACTAGAGTACTCAAGACTGTTAAGAATCCAGTGGGTGAACTCAACTGTATTATCTGAAAATAAAATACCAGTTTGGGTTGGTTTAACCTTTCAGAGAATAACCCTGAACTCATTGTTTACCAGGCCTGACCTACTGAAATCAGATGCCATATCCAGTGTGGAGGCAAATGCACCCAGTTCATCTCCCATATCTGGAAGTCCAAAGATATCATCAGGGGGGAAAAGCCGGTATCGAAGCAAGCCACGTCATCGGCGAGGGAACAGCAAGGGCAGTCATGGTGACTTCCTGGGGATTTCAAAAAACCACGATTCTCCTTCACAAACTGCTCGTTATCTTTCTCCTGCATCTCCCCCATTCACCCCACCCAGTCCCCGCCATGACCCAGTGCAGCCCGTGTCGTCTCGACACCAAACCCTTAATATGCATGGGCAGAATATTGCCAACTGTGCCAACAACCTACGATACTTTGGCCCTGCAGCTGCACTAAGAAGTCCTCTGAGTTGTCATTCTCAGCGCTGTATATCTGGTTCTAGCCCTGACCTCCTTTCCAGCACCCTGGAGGCTGACAGTCGCCTGCAAACAGAAAATTGGGAGCCCTGCCAGCAAGACTCGTATAACTCTTGCCTGAACTGTGCTGAGGCCTCTTCTCAACCGATTTTAAACCCAGAATCCTGGGAAAATTCTACAAGTGAAAACCCAGAGCTAAGGAACTCTGAGAGAAACCCACCAGAGCCACCAAGGCACAATTATATGCAAGAAGGAACGCAAACTCCGATGACTGGGCTAGATCAGATTCCTATTATCAGGGCAGCAGTGGGAGTGAGTTCTCTAACCATCCCTACACCACCTGCTCTACCACGAAGGATACGCACTCTTAGAAAGGTAATTCCAACCCATTTTGTTCCAATAACTGTGACATTAGTAATGTTAACCTTATAACTAATTTATACTGCTTAAGGCATTGGACATAAAGGCTATAATTAATTTAGTAGACACATGTCTTATTGGCTGCAAGATTTCAGTGATGCATACTGTCATCACAGTATGGGTACTGGGTATGCAAGATCTAAATCCTCCACTAAAATTCTTTACTAGCAATACAATTCATTGGCAGTAGCTGGTTAATTCAAAGAGCTGTATGCATTTAAAGTAATTTTTTACTTCAGACTTACATGTATAGAGAGTCTTATTTAACCAACTAATGACATATGAGAAAGATGCACCTTTTGAACATTCTGCTTAAATTGCTGTTTCTGGGTTCAGTGCTTTCTCGATCACTGACCCGAAACAAGTAAAGTTAATGAATTCAGAACTTTTAATCTGCATGTTTGATCTAACCAGCGAGTAAAAGTATTAAAACAAGAGGATCAGCATGACATCCATGAAACTAGTATTGAAAGAAAAGATGTGAAATGGCAGCTTTCATATTTCTCTCATGGCAGTAAAGGTCACTGATGAAAAATGTATTGAACTCTTTTATTTAATAACTAATGGAACCTCATTTATTGGCAGTAATCTTACCCAAACAATCTCTGTAGCTGATCAGGCCTGTGCAACTGTTAGGATGTGTTCTTAAACAGTAACAGTTCAACCACTTAAAACAGTCTGTGTTAGACTCAACTGACTTTCATTGGGATTAAGTCAGGAACACTAATGTGACCATTCCAAAATATGGATTCTTTTTCTCTTTAAGCCCTTCTACTATCAATCCACTCCTGTGTTTTGGATAACTGTTATGTTGCAATGAACAGCTTAGTTAGAGTTTTAGAGCAATTAGATGCCAAGAGCTGGGCAGGACTCTCTGGTCGGCATCCCTTCCGGCTCATTGAAGTCACTCTGGCTGGTGTCCCGCCCAGCTCCTGGCAACCAGGTAGAACGCACTGCTCAACTGCCCCCCCCATAACTTACAACAACTGCTACCGCACCCCACAGGGTAAAGTTGCACCATAAGTGCCCAAACAACCCCCCCGACCTCGGGCAGTGAAAAATGTAGGGACACCCCTGAATATAAAGCCCACCGCTGGCCAACTTTTTTTCTGTTGTCTGTACTTACATTGAGGAGATTTTCCCTTACTTCTGTTCCCATTGACACCCCATGACACCCTGACCCATGGGGTCTCACAGCACATGAGGCAAGAGGATATCAGCCAGCGGGGGGCACACACACATCAGTGAACAACCGTCCTCAGATAGAGAATTAAAAATACATTTTGGGCTTTAAACCAGCGAGAGAAATGTATTGTAGCTGCAGAAAAACATTGAAGGGGTTTTCCACTTTCAAGGAGAAAATGAAAAGGCACACAAATTGCAGAAGCAGTGAAATTGTTCTGACTTGGAACATATGATGGTCACCTATTTGAAATGTCTAAGGCTGCGTTCACACCTGACCGTTTTGTAGCGCGTCCTACGCTCGACGAACGCTCTACAAAACGGTCAAAAAAATAAATAGCATTGTAGCCAATGCCCTCGTTCCCACCTAGGCGTATATTTCTGCCCTTCCCTAACGCCCTACAAAACGGCCCACGCCTGAAAAGGTCCCGGGACTACTTTGGGCCGTTTTGTAGGGCGTTTTCCATTGGGATACAGCCAAGTAGCCTTGGCGAATCGCGGTAAAAAAACCACGTGACGGTCGCGTGACAGACGCGCATATTACAATACGCCTAGGTGTGAATGGGGCCTAAAGGTCACCAAACGTTACAGTCTGATTGTACACCACTAGATCTACCAACAAGTATTTAGTGCAAGGGCCTGTCTGACTGAATACAAATTGGTTGGGTAGTTCAGGTACTTAGTTTTGGTAGATCTAAAGTTGATTACAATAAAATTGTAATGTCTATGATGACCCTTAGGCATATCTTAGGCACTAGAGTGCTTTTTGCATCTTTGTCTTTTTCAGCATGGACCTGAGCTACATTGTGCTGAAAAGAGAAAGCAACTTCAACCTCTCACACACGCTTGACATTTTTTTCAAATTTACTCTGCAAATAGCTGATCATTTCAAGTTAGTAGATTTTAGCTACATCTTTGAAACATGCTAATTTTAGTACTTGTGTTTCTGTTCCACAGAATGGGGACGAATCATCAGAGGAAGAGGAGGGTGAGGTAGACAGTGAAGTTGAGTTTCCCCGAAGACACCGGCCACCTCAGGGCATGAGAAGCTGCCAGTCCTACTCTACTTTCAGTTCAGAAAATTTCTCGGTGTCTGATGGAGAAGAGGGGAACACCAGTGATCACTCCAACAGCCCAGATGACTTGGTTAACAGCCGCAAGGAGCCTCTGGGGGACAAGTTGGAAGACTTGCTATCCCAGACACCTGAGATCCCAATTGAGATCTCAACACAGTCAGATGGGTTGTCAGACAAGGAGTGTGCAGTCAGAAGAGTGAAGACTCAGATGTCCTTGGGCAAACTATGTGCTGAGGAGCACAGCTATGAAGTAAGAGCACTAACTGATTTGATTACTATTAACTGGATGTCCTTTTCTAAAGCAACTCTGACTCTAGACTAAAAAGCTTATAAAAAAAAGTGCTGCCTGTAGAAAAACAAAAACACCTTGTAGCTGTCCTGTGCTGTGGCTGCATCCACAGTCCCCTACTTCACTGCTGTGTCCTTAAAGCAGACGGAACCACAGAAACACTTGGAAGTGTGTTGGATGCAGAACAACTTCCACTTAGTTCTTCAAGAGAGTAAAGATTGGTGGTGCAGGCTAAGTCATTATTAGTCCTTATCTTTACAGGCAAGACTTTTATAAACAATTTAGTCAAGCAATAGTGTCACTTTAAGGAAGCTATGCATTAAAATATTTTTTTTGCCTGATCTGAGCAATTTCAGCACTGTTGTGCAATTTGACAAAGTGTAACCTTTGCATCAAATTTACACCAGGTGTCACAGGACCAGATTTAACTAAGATTTAACTAGGAACAGTAGGGCTTTGCCTAGAGGCAGCAGAAGTAAAGAGGTGTTTTTTCCTGGATAGTCACTGTCAACAGGTTTTCTTCCTATTATCAGTAGAAATAGTCAGTGCTTATGCACTTGTTTGTTCCATCTGATTTTATTTCTGCAGAAGTTTGCATACAAAGTTGACAGAACATCAGGGAAAGTACACATACAAACAGTGCATATGGTATGCAATACATAGCAGGGTAAAGATGTAAATATAAGGACTTCGAGCTCATCCACTCCTTGAGAATCACCTTGCTTGTTAAGGAGTATTGATTTCTTTACCTGCAAGCATAGTATGTATGATCCCTGAAAGATTCAATAAGGGAGAGAGCTGTAGATGAGAGGGATATGCTGTCATGGCCGTTGGATAATGGGGCAGGAGCCCATTGATGAAATAATTCGAGATAAGAATGACTCGTGGGGAGTGGATGGGGTATGAGGAAAATGATGACAAATAAAGTGCTGAAAAAAACATTGTATGGCAGTTTTGTATTTTTAATAGTTTCAGGTAGCATAAATAACAATACTATTTGAAGAGTATTTGGGACAGTAATACCAGTGGTTTTGGAATATATTGTGACAATTGTGTCCCAGAATTTGATGGGGTGCAGGACCACCATATATGGGACATGGTTCCTAATTGAGTTAAGAGTCTCCAACAGTTGTCAGAGACTGATGGTTAGATCCGGTGTAAGATGCTGGGACACATGTACCATCAGGCGAAAATCTTAAAGTGGAAGTATGCCAAAGTTTAATAATAAGCCCCTCGGAGGTGTTTGTCATAGTTTGCTAATATGCATAGCGTGTTAGCACATTATAACCAAATTTCCTTACAAATGATCCCCTCCAGAGCTGCCCTGTCTGCTCTCCCTTTTGTTGCTAGCGCTGCCATCTTTACCCGGTTCTGGGTTCGAGATCTTCAGCCACGTGATCGGCCAAACCAACATGATGTAACTCCTGCAAAAAAATAAATAAATGCTGACAGCAGGTAGGAGCATTGTTGACAGAAGAGACTCAACAGTCTCTTCTGCTAATAAAAAAACCTGCCATGAGCAATTTCTTTTCATAGATGTGTGTGTGTGTATATATATATATATATATATACACACACAATTTACTTCCATTTGAATCTCTCAGTAGGCTAGGCATTGTATAAGGGTTAAAGAGGCGTGGCCTAGTAGGTTCAGCAGGGTTGACAGAGCCCCTCTTTGCAGTATCTTAGTCAAACGGCAAGGGGTCTTTTTTTCCCAAATTAGGAAGTTAGATTGGGTCAAAGCTGGGAGGAATGCTTGGTTTCCAAAGAGGGAGGGTCATGGGTTCTACAGCAGGAGAGAGTTGAAGTTTAGAGCTACTCTTGCCCCATACCGTGAGAAAGTGGTGCATTAGAAGGGGTAAGGGGTGCAACGTGCCCCCTAGATTTGGTGTGATCCATTGCAGGGCCTGAAGGTCATATGTGTTACGGTCTTGTTCTGTGAGGAGCCACTGTCTAAATGAATGATTATGAAACCACTCCATCACTTTGTTGAGGATAGAAGCAGTGTAGTAGAGTGCATTGTATATATGCTTATTGATACAGTCTCAAAATGCTAAGTTGAGTTTGAATCAATAAAACAAGAAAATGTTGCAGCACAAGGGTGTTTCTTTGGGTGCCAAAGACTGTGTTCATAAAGGCTGATGGTAATCTGGCAGCTATGTTAATGATTAGGGGTTAGAAAATGTCAGGCCTTAGTTTAGTTCTGTCAGCTGATTAAACAGAGTTAAAACATGTGCCATGTAAGAAGTTTTACAGACACGTAGTTTCCAATAGATGTGCTTGTTGGCTTCAAGAGCAGTCTTCAGATGATCTCTAATGTTCTCTAATGTGATGGTGAGAAGCCCTTTGATGAAACGTCACATTCTAGTGAGTCCCTCCGCAGCGGTCTGACATACCCCCCACAGAGTTAGATCCAGAGCTTTCCAATCAGCAGAGCTCGCACTCCCTGTTGATTGGAGGGCTATGGTTCTGACACAATGAAGTTGCTGCTGCTTCCATAAAGAGACCAGGATTGTTTCTCTGCAGCATGCTGATGGGGGGCAGGTTTTTCTACTCTAGATAAAGTTGCTTCACAAAGAGAGCAAAGTGTAAAACCTTTAAACACCTTTTGTTTTGATGCACACTGAATGTATTTAGTGCATTTAAAGGAAACTACAACATCTGAATATTCTTAAATTGAGCCCATGTTGCTGCCATGACTGTTCACCCCCAACTTGTGCAATATTACAAAATTATTAATCAGTATGTTTTTCATAATATCTACAGAACCCAGGCAATTTTGCAGAGTCTGACTGTGATTCATCAGAAGGAGAGTGTTCTGATGCCACTGTACGAACCAACAACCCCATCAATTCCTCTACCTGGTGAAGAAGTATTCAGTCTACCAAGAGGAGTATTTACTTGCCCATACATTTCCAACATCTTCTATATCTAGTCCTGAACTGTCATAGCAAAGAAGACCTTTTACATCCTCTTCCCTTCAGACCTAAGAGCATTTCACCACTAGGATAGGGGCAGCAGGTTGTTGCAAGGCAATATGTTGTTTGCCCATTCCCATCCTCTTTTAGAATTAGGAATACCTGAAGTCGGCAATAATGGGGGCCCAAAGACTTATGAAGGAGCCCTCCTATAAACGAACAAGCTTCTCAATGGGAGCATTCAAACCATGAATGGCAGGGATAAATATTTAAGCAAAATGTTCAAGGTACTGTAAAATTCCATATTTATTTTTATTTTGTGTGTGTTTGGACCCTTTTTATTGTAAGATAGGCGAATAGGTGAAAAGTATATTAGCACTAAATGGACGGATCACTGGAAAAAAAAAAAGCATTGCAATGACTCCTGACGAACCTGCAGATGCCTAGAGGTTTTGCTGCTGCTTTTTAGGGACCAAATATTGACTTTCATTTTTATTTTTTCCAGTTTTATTTTGTCTTGAAAATATGCCCTCTCTATATGAAGTCAGAGGGAGATGCAGAGGCTTAAGAACAAAGCTTTGAACACAGTATCATTGAGAACAACCTTGTGGACAAATTGACTTGGTCACTTCTGTTAGTATTGCTGCATGATCGTCTAAACAGTAACGTGCTAGCAGATAAAAATATGGAGACAAGGACTGGCAATTATTGCTTTACATTTTCTTACCAAGTAGGGTTGTTTATCAACAGAACTGTTGGTTAAGAAGTGGACCATGTCTTCTATAAATCCCTTATCCCTTTATGCGCTGTTGGCAGTGACTTACAAGACATTTCTGCCCATCCAAGTGAAACCCAGACCAGCAGAAGTGCAGCCATCTTTAAGCTGTAATGGGTATATTGGGCTCGTTTTCGCAGACTTTGTTTGAGGACACCAGCACTTGGAAAACTCCTTTGATGTCTACTTATTTTTTGTTTCTCCTGAATGAAGATCAGATTTCAGGGGGTTGAGAGGTCACCTACCATCCCACTCAGGAGAGATCCCAGCCATATTGTCCATTGCCTCATGACGGTGACCTTTCACCTCCCTCCATACATGATTATGTCTTCGTCTTTTCACCTTTCATAATCACCTAAAAGCACAGGATGAGAATTTTTAGGATTGTTGTGAATCAAGCATGCCTATATTATGTGAGGTTATGGACGAACATTCAAAACTCATCGGTATGTGCTGAGGAGGTAATCTGATCGTTATCCCATGATGCACTTCCAAACATCAAACCTATACACCGCACAGACAGGACACTTCATGTCCTCAGAAAGTGTCAATGTTCAACAACCTGGGAAAACTGAAAGGAAGCAATCAAATACATATTGCAACCCTTAAGTATATATTCTCTGGCTTACCGTTTCCCTCTTTTGACATAACGTTGACGGGACGTTTATTTTTTTGTCTTCAAAAATATGATCCAGTTACTCTATGTGAGCTACTACACTTCAGTTACATTACAGGGAACAGAGTTTCTTATTGGCTAATGCAAACATGTTTATGTTTAAAGCCTCTGAAAGATTCAGTCATTGTGTTCTAAGAAGCAAATATTTTTTTATGTCAAGAGATCTGCATGTCACACCCTGTCAACAAGAATCTACTGTGTCGTGACATAACTCCAAAGTTAATTAGCCAATTGGAATTCATCATAGGAAGCGGATCATTCTTCCATTGATCGTATTATGTTTTTTTTCTTATTATTTTGTATTTGTATATATTCGGCCATATTTTTACTATGGCAGGTAATTTATTTCCCTGAAAACCTCAGGACCCAGACTCAGGTGACTTGTCATTTAAAGTGGAGACCCTTTATCTGCAGGCAGTCATTTTGTAGGCTGAACTAATACTTATGGAAATGCAGCTGATCAGTCCACCAGTAACATAACTCAAGAGTCAAAAGGTACCCTATTCCTTCTGTCTCATCAATGTCACAGATTCCTAGTAAAGAGAAAATAGTGCAATCCACAAAATGGCTACCTCTTCTAAGTGTCAGTGATGTGTCCACTTTAAGTTTGGAGCACAGTCTTCTTCCAGTGTAAACCACAGTTTCAAGCACCTGAATCTGGAACACATTTATTACTATGAATTTGTTTACACATTTCTGTGAGTTTAACCCATCTGCTGCCAGAGGAAACATAACAAGCAAAGTAGTAGAAGATTTACTGCAACTGAGATCATGGGCAAAATATTTTACAAATGGCTAGAATCTAATCATAAAATCAGTTACAGTGGCATATATTTAGTAAGGCTACGTAAAGAAAAGTGATTGTGTACAAAGTGCAGTAACCAATAGCTACCAATCAGTGAAACACAATGAAGAAGGATCACTTAATGGTTGCTATGGGTTACTGCATTCTACACATTATGAATTTGACTTTATAAATAAGACTAGATAATTATTTGCTATGTGACCTCAGGATTCAAAATATTAACTCAATTCTTAATCTGTTTGGGCTTTAATAAACCTAATACTAAGGTGCTAAAAGCTGCCATACCCCATAGCTGCCTCATAAGTGCAAGTAGGAAGTGAAAAGAGCATGTTTAAATGTAACACATTTTTTACATATTTGATGCGGTTAGGCAGGGCAGTGAGATACATCTGTGAATAGAATTGACATATTCAGATTGTTTAAATATCTGTTATGCCAAATGTGAAAAAAAATTATCACGCCCAATTCTGTAAAAAGGATCTCCATATCATTTTTTACTTTTGGATAGAATATCACATTTGTATTGCTGTCCGTATCACTTTTGGGGAGATTTCCTATCACCGCTGGTCTTACTGACATTGCTAGGGGCCAAACGTTATCTTCCCCCACTCTGTAAAGTGTTCTCCATACATTTATATAGAGAATCCACTAGCGGCTACATAGAATGTAGGCACATAAGAATTTTAAACACAGCAATGTTCTGTGTGTCCTGGGAAGAAAATCTCTCCAATGGTGATACAGATATCATTACCAAACCGGACAGATCATCTAACCATTCCTTATTCCATACAGTTTGATAAGGTTTAGCTTGATTTCCATTTATAGAAGGTCTTAAAGTGGGTCTGTATTAAAACAAACACTTTCCCTAAATGCTACCAGTGCAAAAATCTACCTCCCCGAATGCCAATTCTTGCAGTCTGCTTGTGCATCTTGGGAGGGCAGGGGAACGTGCATGTATTCTATACCCAGGCATATATAGCAGGAAACCAGTGGTAAGCAAAGTGGAGGGACTGAGTATAGGCATCAGAGAGTGCCTACAGTACAGTGGGAGGATGGATGGATTTGAGGGGTTTAGTTTTAGTACAGGTGTTCTCTAAATAAAAACTGCCATAGTGCCTATGTGAACATACTATTGTTAGCTACAGATACAACTTGAGATCACCAACTAGTCTACTAGAAATGTGAAAGCTTCAAATAAATAATTCTCCAGCATTTACAGGCAACAAGACATAAAGTGAATACTGTTCTGTACAGTCTATATTATCTCACTGCTCTGACTTGCAGCTAAAAAAAATGTGGCCAAAGGGGTACTTACAAAGCTGTCTATACACAGCAGATTTTGAACATGGCAAATGAGAATGATTATAGATTTGGCGGGCATACAGTATCTAGTCGTACATTTTGTGCTTGGGCTTATCGAAGTTCCATAGAAGTACATTCACTACTTGTACAAAGAACCGAAGTAGTCATACAAGAACAATACACATGAGCTAGTGTATCCCTGTATGACCACATATTATGCCACAGGCTTTGTTCCTTAAACAGATATGTTTTAGCCTCAGATGTCTATGATGGCCTAATTACCAGCAAATGAAGTCAAGAACAACCTCATCTACCTGATAGTCTTTGCAAGTATGGGCATTTTTGGCCAATTACTACTTGTATTTGAGTGATCTACTTGTACTGTGACTGATTGTGCTCCAGTGATGCCATTGCTCCCTAGACATTTGATAGGGTAGATATTGGCTCAGGTACATCATAACCACCTTTACCTATGTGACCAGCTCACTTCAAGATGGTGCTAATTCATTATTTATTATATTTTAGAGTAGCGTACAATTTGTATGCAACAATATGTCCCAAGAGTATTTGTTTCAAGATGGGACATGCAGCTCTTAGGTAGGAAGCTGAGGATCAGTCTTGTTGATGGGCATTTCTTCTGCTTTCGCTTTTAATTTCTCCTTTTTTATTATACTCTATCGGGTATTACACATCTACTTTCATGAAGCCAGCTTTAGTTTTTATTTAAAGAGCCCCTTAACATCAGTTGGGTTTATGTACATTTTCAGTAACATTTATGGATAAATATGTAAAGCAGTCAGCACTTTAGCAGATGGGCACTTGTAGAAGGGCACTTGCATTTGGAGTCTGCAAGGCTGAATTGTACTAGAGATGGTGATTAAAGATATAGGGATGTGGCAGTAATAGAATATTTAGAAAAATAAATGATTTTAAGCATTATTTAGTGATGTCATTAACTTCTCAAAGCTTGGTGCAGTGCAGCAGATCCAAAATTTTAAAGATGGCAAATTGGGGATGTACATTAAAAGCAGATGTACAGTTCCTTGGTGTGATGTCACCGCAGCTTGCAGGACTACTTGCTTCAGCAGCCCATTCAACTAACTAATCACATGGCCATGCATGAGCATTCCTTTGTGAGCAGAATCTTGAACAACACCGCTACTGTCCTTGTAATAAAAAACTGCTTAGACCCCTTGGGGTTGATTTACTAAAGTCAAATAGGCTGTTCACTTTGCAGGGGAATTTTCCCTTAGCTTAGTGAATGAGGTGAAGCTCTGCTAACTTCCATCATCCAATCACGTGCAAGCAGATTTTTTTCTTTTTCTTTTCCTTGCACGTGATTGTATATTCTTTGCACAGGGAACTTTCAACAGGGAAAAAATTCCCTTCCAAAGTGAACAACCTATTTGCTTCTAGTAAATCAACCCCCTTGTGTCGATGTTTATTAGTGGCTCTTTTATATAAAGCAATATTAAGTTTACTGATCCTTACATTTATATTGAAATTAATAGACATGTGGGTGGAGGACAAAAAAAGAACACAATTTCTGCATGATACCTAAAATAGAAGATTGTTCTAATTTTTTACCAAAATAGTAAAAAGTGCGCAATTGTGTGCTAGAAATAAGACACACCTTGGAAGAATGTAAACATAGAATCTGCTTGGCCTGTCCTCATTATATTCATGCCCCCCACATGACCCCCTCATCCAATGAGCTCGCTAGGTTTATCATTATTTATTGTCCTTATTATATTCATGACTCCCTCATCCAATGAACTCGCTAGGTTTATCATTATTTATTGTCCTTATTATATTCATGTCCTCATCCAATGAACTCGCTAGGTTTATCATTAGTTATTGTCCTTATTATATTCATGTCCTCATCCAATGAACTCGCTAGGTTTATCATTATTTATTGTCCTTATTATATTCATGACCCCACATCCAATGAACTCGCTAGGTGTATCATTATTTATTGTGCTTGCATTGTATATTTTGCTCCATGAATCGGACTTTCTACATTCCCTGCAGCAATCGGGTTAAAAGTTGTGTTCTTTGTGGGTGCTAGAGGGTCCTGCAACTTCTGTTCTGCAGTGCTCTCCAGTAGAAAAAAGGGAGTGTTAATCTTTGTGTAGCACCTTAGGACGAATGAAGGGAAATGTTGTGTTGTTATGGGACAGTATTGTAAGAACTTTATTTAAATTTTTTTTTTTTTTTTTTGGTCATGTAGCAGGACTACATCACAATTTTAAGTTATGCAACATTTTAATTAATATTATTTCTGTGATTTTATTTTCTGTAGATCAGAATGTTTTTGTTTAACATTTATCATGGGCAGCACAATGATTCCTTTGTTCAGAAAGGGAACAAATGGGTTTCAAGATCAATTTAAATTATGTTTACGTGTACGTCTAGAAAGAGAGTATCATTAATTGCTTAGGAGGGTGCTGTCATTCTAAGAATTTAATTCCATGAACAAACTGATTTTCAAGAGACATATGAGAGCTAGGGTGAATGGGGGAAAATTG